CCAGAGGGGAACTCTGGGGGCTGGCCGGGAGCCAAGCCACAGGGTAAGGGCTGGCGGACGCCTGGTAGCCCAGCTCATCACTTCCCATTCCCCACCTGCCGCTTCGAACACAGCCTCTGAAAGCCGGCTCTCCCCACTGGGACAGTTCCAAGTCTTGCTGTTGAGTGAACTGTCTGCATCCATATTCTGTTTCGGGGCCTTTCCTGGCAGTTCTGGAGGATCACACAGTGCTGGGAATGGAGCCCTGGCCGCTTATATGCCTTTCAGCTCCTGGAGCCGTCTCCTGCCCTGTTGATCACTCTTGGGTTTGGGCCATTCTTGACCATGCTCGGGGCTGACTCCTGGCCATACTCAGGGCTGACTCCTGGCCATGGTCAGGGCTGATTCCTGACTCTGTGCTTAGGGCTGACTCCTGGCCATGCTCAGGGCTCACTCTTGGCTGTGCTTAGGTGCTGAGTCCTGGCTCTGCACTCATGAATCATTCCTGGCGAACTCAGGGTCCATATGAAGTACTGGAAATCAGACCCAGGGCAGCCTCCTGACATGCAAATGCCTTACCTGCTGTGCAAATCTCTTCAGCCCTCCTTCTTATCACTTTTATCAGAACAAAAAGCTAAGAAGTTAAAGGTTACTTTTGGGTACTGTATTTGCTTGGCCTTTTTTGGGGGGGAGGGTCTATTTTTCTTTATCAGTATAAATAGCAGAGGTTGGCTACTAGTTTTATAGAAATAAGTAAATCTTTACATGTATCATATATTCCTAAACCCAACTTCAAGTCATTAGAATTAAAAAAGAGGATTTGGAGAGGAAGTGTGTGGGTCTCAGATTAATTTAGAATACTTTAGAAAATGACCTACAAATTTAAAAATTTCAAGTTAGTAGTTATTGGGGGAGGTTTTTTTTTTTTTAAGTTTTTGAATGCTTTTAATCCCTGCCCACCCCCAAGGTCTGTTTTTAAACAAAACGTGCATCAGGAAACTCAGGATTTTAGAATGAAGTTCAAAACATCGACATTTTTGACCCAAGTTACCCTGGGTTGCTTTATGTGGTATCTCCTCCCCGTCACTTCCCCCTCTGCCCAGGTATTGGGATGTTCATTCCTGCACCCGTGGAGCCCTGTCCAGCTTCACCTTTCATTGTGGCGCTTGCTCAGTGCCCCCTCTCTCTGCTTGTTTGCATGTGCCTGGGCAGCCACATGTTTTGTTTGACCCATGACCCGCCTCTGCCCCTGGCCCAGTCTCCAGCCCCAGCGCAGAAGCACTGGCGGGCTGGTGTGCATGCTGGTGCCGGGATGGGTGTGTGCTGGTTACTTGGGGGCAGGGCCGTTTCCACCTGCCATTCCAAAGAGTCTCTGGGGCTTGAGTCGCCTCGAAAGTCCAGCAGTGGGTCTCGGTGCCCAGCGGGGAGAAGCAGCCTTGAGGCGGCACACGGCCCCGGGCTGCATCCTCGGGGCTCCGGCTCAGCAGCATCTCTCTGTCCGGGAAATGTCTCGGCTTCTGTGGTGTGAAATGCAGATAATTATACTTAGATTCACTTGTCTCGTGGGACTGCTCCTTAATATTTATAGCTGCAAAATACTTTGCAGTCATTTTTATTAATAGTTACCAGATGTGTCATAAGGATTAATGAACTTAGGATCTGAAATGTTTTGAGCTCCTGAAACAGGGGCCTCTGTTTGCACGGGGCATATGGGAACGTACGATAGAGGCAAACAATGCCTGCTCGGAGCCCTGAGGCACACTCAGGGCCCGTGAACTTTGTCAGATTTGTGGCCCCTTCATCAGGGAGCCAGGTTTGTCACAGGCCAGTGCCAAGCAGAGAAAGCTAGGGACCTCCCACCCATCCCCCTCACCACCCCAAATGTCTCCCCATGCACAGGCACCCACCTACCCCGCACCCACTCCTGGATCCCAGGGAAGCAGACCCAGGTCCCCTGGTGCCACACAGCTGGCCCCTGTGGTCGCGCCCTCCTTGCCAGTTCCGAAGGTTCTGGTTCCTTTTCCACTTCTCTGCATTTTCCTCTAACCATCAAACCACCCAAGCACCTTCCACTGTCCCCTGTGGATCCTCTTCAGTGGCAGAGTCTCACCCAATGTGGGAGTGCCCCCAGCGCTCTCTGTTGCCTGTGAATGTTGGCCCCAGGCTCACACCACCTCGTCACCTTGCCCATGTGTGACAGTCACACATGGCAGAATTGATGGGGCTGTGCCAGGAATCTCCCCACGGCCTCACACCGGGCGGGCAGCTACCAGTTACCCCTGAGCACCTTGGCTTTCATCTTCTCTGCTGTGGAGACTTTGGGGCTCTGATGGCTGCAGCTGTGCCCCGGGGCCTAGGAAACTGTGAGGGAGTATGTGTGACACTGTGACAGTGTGCTAGAGAGTGTGTGTTTGTGACAGTTGTGTATGTGAGAGGACAGTGTATGTGACTGAAAGTATTTCTGAGTGTGTGAATCAGTGATTGTGACTATGTATGAGTGTGTGAGAATATGAGACAGTGTGACTATGTGTGTGACAGTGTGTGTGACAGAGTATATGTATGAGAGTGAGAATATGTGTGAGTGTGTGGGTGAGTGTATGTGTGAGACAGTGAGTATGGTTTTTACTGTATGTGTCTGGGTGTGGATTTTACTGTGTGTATGTGATTTTTACCGTGTGTGAGACAGTTGAGTGTGGTTTTTACTGTGTGTGAGAGGCTATGGGTGTGGTTCTTGTGTGTGTATGTGTGCATGAGAGAGAGAGAGGGAGAGGGAGAGGGAGAGAGGGAAAGACTGGATTTGGTATTTATTGTGAGTGAGAGGCACTGTGGATGTGGTTTTTACTGTGAATCTGGGTATGGATTTTACTATGTGTGGGAGACAGTGCGGGTATGGTTTTCATCCCATGAGAGACAGTGTGGGAACAGTTTTTACTGTATGTGAAAGACGTGTGTGTGAGAGAGAGAAAGAGAGAATGTGGATGTGGTATTTACTGAGTGTGAGAGAGACAGTGTGGGTACGGTTTTTACTGTGAGTGTTAAAGATATTGTGTGTGTGAGAGAGAGAAAGAGAGAATGTAGATGTTATTTACTGTGACAGACAGCGTGGATGTGGTTTTTACTGTGTGTGGAAGACATTGTGTGTGTGAGAGATAGAGAGTGCGTGAGGTTTAAACTGTGTTAGAGACATTGTGGTTGTGGTATTTGTGTGTTAGAGACATTGTGGGTGTGATATTTATGTGTGTGAGAGAGATACAGTGTGGGTGTGGTATTTGTGTGTGTGAGAGAGATAGTGTGGGTGTGGTTTTTACAGTGTGTGTGAGAGAGATAGTGTGGGTGTGATTTTTACTGTGTGAGAAGCAGTGTGGGTGTGTTTTTCACTGTGTGTGTGAGACTGTTTAGGTGTGGTTTTTACTCTGTGTGTGTGTTTGAGAGAGTGTGTGGATGTGGTATCTACTGTGTGTGAGGTTTTTACTTTGTGGGACTGGTGGGTGTGCTTTTTTACTGTGTGTGTTCATTCCTTCCACTCCTGCTGGTGTGGCAGATCCTCATAATCACGTTCCTGTTCTTCCCTACTCTGGTGCCACTGTCTCATTATTGCCTGGTTCTCTGTCCTTCAGCCCGTTGTGCCCCACCCCCTACCACGTCCAGTAAACCAAATCTTCCTTCCCTATCTTTGCTAAGGACCACGTGGAAGTCTGTCCTGTGTCCCATCCAACTGGTTTCCTCATGCCTTCCTGTGCCCTCCCTCACAAATCTCTGCAACCCCACAAGGTTTGGCCACGCTCCACCTGCTTGAAAGCATCAGATCTCACACTTTCACCATGATTCATGTCCCCACAGCCCTAATGTCCCCGGGGAAAGGGGTGCATGAGAGAGGCAACATATGTGGGCATGTTGCTTACTGGGAGAATTGCTTCTGTGCTCCTTGTTTATCAGCACGTGAGTCCTCATGTTCTGAAGAGATTCTTGGCAACTGGAACTTTAGTGATGTACAACCAAAATATTGTCACTGCAGAACTGGTAGAAACAAGAACTAAGTTCCTGTGCCCTAATTCAGGTTGTAGAAACATCACCACCCTTGTAAGTGAAGATCCAGACATTTAGGCTATGTAGTAGCCACTTCCATCCATCCATCCATCCATCCATCCATCCATCCATCCATCTATCTGCCAGTCTGTCCATCTACTCATCCAACCACTCACCCATCAAACCATCCATCCACCCGCCTATCCATTGATCAGCACATCTACCCATCCATCCATTCACTCTCCATCCATCCATCCATCCATCCATCCATCCCATCCCATCCCATCCGTCTGTCCACTGTCCCATCCATCCATCAACCCATATATCTACCCATCTACCCATCTACCATCCATCCACCCACCCACCCACCCATCTATCCATCCATCCCATCCACCCATTGATGTGCCATCCCATCCATTCACCCATCCAGCCAGCCATCCAGTCACCCACCCATCCATCCATCATTGATCACCCATCCATTCATCATCCAACCATCCAACCACCCAACCACTCACCCACCCACCCACCCATCCATCCATCATCTCTCCATCCACCCATCATCCATCCATCCACTCACCCCTCATTGTGGTCCTTCCCTCTGTCCCTCAACTGCCTATTCAATTCAGGGAATCTGAAGATGAACATGGGAGAGCCTCCCAGCTGCTCATGGCATATCACACACATTCAGACGGGAACATACTCAGATGACCCGCACATCCATCTGATTTGAGAAGGATGGGCCTGCTGCAGGCAGTGGTCTCGGTGGAATGAGTTGGGTTTTGTGCTCCTCATCCAAGTGCCATGGTCTTCTCCAGACACTCGGGCCCAGGCTTGTGTGCTGTAGGCCCATGGACAGGACTCTCTGGGGCTCCTGTGTGTGGGAGCCATGCTCAGGGGCCCTCCTCATAGCCCCTCAGCTCGCCCTTTCTCCCTGTCCCCCTCAGCTCCGTTCCTCTGTCCCGGCCCCTCTCACTCCCCATTTCCTATTTCCTCAGCCCGTGCCCCGAATCCTGGTGCAGCCTGCACTGGCAGACGCCGGCGCCCCCAGGATGGTGCAGGTGAGTGTGTGGCGCGCCCTGGCACCGTGCCGATGGCTGCCCCCAGGCTCTGCTAGTCGCATCCACGCCTGCAGTTTTCATTTCAGTCTTCCCCTTTGGATAACGAACTATAATATAGGTCGTCGTCTCTCCCTGTTTTCCTTCGACACTTTTCTATTTTCAACTTGTTAATCATATGATTGCTAAACTTCTAGGTGCTTGACTGCTAATGTCGTCTGCTGCTTTAATGGCCCCACTGCTAGGCCCGGCGATTTCTATAAACAGAACAGTCCCCTCCTTCGGAGTGTTTGCCTAATTCTCGGTTTTACATTTCATTCTGATTCATGATATCAGCGTGAAAAGGCTAATGCTGAGCCGGGGAGAAAATAGTCTCTCATGATCCCCCGCAGCTCCGCCGCTCCCCTAATCTGCACAGCTCCGCCGCCTCTCCCACTGCGGCTGCCTGCTCGTGGGGACGCTGGTGCCTGCCAGGACAGTCCCTCCCCTTAAGACAGAAAAGAGCCAGATCATCGGGGAGATCATCCTGGGCATTCAGGATGCAGACGGTGTAGAGAGCTGCCGGTGGGAAATGAGGCGAGAGCCTGGCCTGGGGGCCTCAAGTCTGGAGTGTATAGAAGTGCCTGGAAATGTCCCCAGGAAGGGCATGAGCTGGAGAGGGCAGGTGGGGCGCTGCCTGGACGCCCCACAGAGGAGACACGGCGGGGACAGGCTCTGTTGCCAGCTCTGCGCTCTGCTTCGTGGTTGCTGCCCTTTGCACAAGCGCTTGGGTTCCGGGGAGAAAGCTTTCTGTCTTGTGCAAGCAAACGGGATCGTCCCGGGCTCTGGTGTTGGGCCTGGCCACCACCCCCAGTGGGCAGCTCTCACAGGGGGCTTGTGCCTTGGGAAGCCTCCCCGCCCGGTCAGTGAGACAGGAAAGAAAAGGACAAATAAACCAGGTACAAAGAAAAATGATTGAGGGATGCCTAATCTTCTAGAGCATTTATGTCAGTGGCAGTTATTGATCTATCGGGTTTAGTAAATTTTGCGCCCTAGAGATCCATCACAAAACTGGGCTGTTAATCCCCAGAGGCGCGGGAGTGTCGCTCCTGGACGCGCCTGGCAGGGAGGAGCCCCGGGGGCGGGAGGGAAATGACGGGCACGTGGGCACACATGATTTATCAAACTGCTGAGTTAAGCCAAGGGACTGGAAGAGACTTATAGATCTCAGCTGTTTCCCAGTTCAAATAAATCCTGCATTTCACATGGAAATGGCCATTCCTGTAATATAAATAATCTTTCCGTAAATATCGGGAAACGCATTTCTCCCCGGAACAACCCCCACTGCCCGGCCACCTTCCCGCTCCCGTGAGTGCAGGGGTGAGGCCGAGACCCTCCACCACCTCCTCCGGGCTGTTGTGTCCACCCTGGCCAATGCCTCGGAGCAGTGACTGGGGCAGGGACACTGCCATCATCCTCCCGGGCCACCCGTGTGTCTGCCAGCGTGACTCAGACCAAGTGATGTGAAGCACTGGAGTGCCACCGCTGGGCTCCTGGCAGGGCCTGCTCTGGAGAGCAGAAAGTGCCCCCTTGCCGTGCCCTTCCTTACCATACCTCCTCAGTGCACCTCTCCTCACCACGCCCCTCCTCAGCGCACCCCTCCACTGTGCCCCTCCTCACTGCACCCCTCCTTACTGCGCCCCTCCACATCACGCCCCTCAACCGTGCCCCTACTCACCACACCGCTTCACCACACTCCTCCTGACTATGCACCTCAACTGTGCCCCCTCCCCGCTGTGCCCCCTCTTCACCAAAACCCTCCCTCACCGGGGCCCTTCTCCCTACCCCTCTCACTGTGCTCCTTCTCACCACACCCCTCTTCACCACACCTCTCCTCACTGCAGCCCTTCACCTCACCCCTCCTCACCACACCCCTCCTCACCCACATTCCCTAAACCCATGCCTCTCCTCATGTAGCACCCCGTCTTCCAGCCCCCCACGCCCTGGCCCACACCGTGCCCCTCTGTAGGTCTCTTGGGATCTCAGTGCCAGGGCAAAGGGCCCAGAGATGGGGGTCCTCCCGGGTTCACCCTGTCCCGGGACAGCGACAGGGCCAACAGCCTCAGCTGCCCACACCCCCATGCCAGCCCGGGAGTGCAGGGTGATTCTGGGCACTGGTGGTAGGAGGGACCCAGCACTCCTCCCTCAGGCTGGGTCATTTCGTGAACACACACAGAACTCAGAGATGCTCCGTCAGTAAAGCACTGGGTGGTTGTTGTTGAATTGAGTTTGGGGGCCACACTAAGCGGTGCGCAGCGCTGACTCCTGGCGCTGTGCTCAGGGCTGACTCCTGGCTCCGTGCTCAGGGCTCACTCCTGTCTCTGTGCTCAGGGCTCACTCCTGGTGGGGCTCAGGGGACCCACAGTGGTGCTGGGGTCACTGTGAATCTCCAGTTTCATGAAAAGCTGCACCTCTGGACATGGGTGGGGCAGTGCCTCGGCCAGGTGTGGCTGCTCTCACCCCAATCTCCTATGTTCTCCCCTTTTGGTATTAATGGGGCTTCGTGGAGGGGCAAGATGGATGAACCCATGACTGCTTGTGAAGGGACTCAATTTCTAGCTCCCTGAGAACAGGAGCAGTAGAATATTCCAGAAAGTTCCAGCCTACTCCCGGCTGCTTTGCACTGAGCCCTGATTGAGAAACCTGCTGAGGTTGGAAGCAGCCCCTTCCATAGGCGTTGGCTGCTGCCCTGTGCCTTGAGGGGCCTGAGATCAGTTTCCTTTGCCTGAGACCCGCATCCTGCAGCTAGGGGAATTTCCAGTCTGCAAACTGCAGGTGGAGGGGGTGGCTGGGGGTCCCCTTCAGACCCGTCCTCAGGGGAACCATGGATCTAATCCACGTGCTCCCCTGTTACTGCAGGCACTTCGAGAGAGTGTGGGGTCAGCATCGGACGGGACCGTTCCCACGCCGAGAGTCTGCGAGCGACCCCCCAAGGGTGCGGAGGGCCCTGAGACCCTGGACGGGCCCCCCAGCCCCGTGAGCGAGGCGTCCAGTGGCTACTTCTCCCACAGTGTGTCCAGCGCCACACTCTCCGATGCCCCCAGCCTGGAGGCTGCGGCCCCCGTTCCCGGCTCACCCCCGGCCACCCTCTCCCTGGCCACTGAGCCCCTGCCCGCCAGCGGGGGTCCCCTGGCTCCCCCTGAACGCCCGAAGCAGGCTGTGTCCCCGGGAACTCCGAACCAGGGCCCGGCTCTTCCCAGCGCCCCTGCAGCCCCCCAGAAGGACCCAATAGCTCAGCAGAGCGGGGTCGAGGCCTGCCCCAAGCCCCCTGTGCCCACGGACCTGCCCGCCTCACCGTTCCGCATCCGCAAGGTGCGCACGTCGGAGCTGCAGTCCTTCTCGCGCATGCTCAGCACCGACCCGAGCCCGGACCCGGGGTCCCCTGCGCCGAGCAAGCTGGACGTGTCCTCCGATTCCGAGGAGGCCAGCGAGGTCCCGGAGTGGCTCCGAGAAGGAGAGCACGTGACCGTGGGCGCCCACAAAACGGGCATCGTCAGATACGTGGGCCCCACGGACTTCCAGGAGGGCACGTGGGTCGGCGTGGAGCTGGACTCCCCCTCAGGTGAGCTGCGGGTCCCACGCAGCCCCACTGCCCCGGGCAAATGTCCATCCAGGGGTGTGGGAGCATTGAAGATGCTCCTTGCACCTGTCCCTTTGGGTAGCCAGCCCCCCCCCCCCCAACCCCCCAGCGTCTGCCCTTGGAATTCCCTGCTGAGGTCACAGCCAGGGGCTGTGCGGATGCTCGGTTTCGGGATGACTGCGGCCCCCGGGTCGGGGCGGTTCCTGCAGAACATGGGGTCTCAAGCTGAGGAATCCGGGAAGCACAGCCCCTTCGGAGGAACCAGCTTCGCTGAGGCAGTTTGCATACCCAACCCAGGGCTCGGCGCTCAGGACCCCAGGAAATCCTCCCCAGGGACCCTCCCTGTCCTCTGCTGGGGCTGCCGGGACCCCCGATGTTGACATTTGGGGGTCAGGGTGGATCTTCAGGCACCCCCACTCCTCCCTGCCGGGACCTCGGGTGGATGCGGGTCTGCAGGCCCTGGGACCCGGGGGTGGGCGCTGCCGGGTTTGCGGGCGCGGTGGCCGCTCACGATCTCCTTTCTCGTCCCCCCCACCCCTGCAGGCAAGAACGACGGCTGCATCGGGGGTCGCCAGTACTTCCGCTGCCGGCCGGGCCACGGGCTGCTGGTGCGGCCGGGCCGGGTGCGCAGGGCTGCGGGCGCGGGTCGGCGGCGCAGCACGGGGCTCCGGCCGCAGGGGGGCCCTGAGCCGCGCCGCAGCAACACCCTCTCCGGCTCGGCCGGCAGCCTGGCCTCGCTGACCGCCGCCCTGGCCAAGGCCGACGCTCCCGCGGCGCTGCGGGCAGAGCGGGGCCAACGCATGCCGGAGAACCGCAAGTCTTGGGCCAGCTGAGTGTCCCCGCAGCGCGCCCTCCCCGGGGCCGGCCCGGAGGTTTGGCACCACGAGGCCGCCGAGCAGAGCTGGCCACCCGGCCCGCGCCCATGACGCTGCCCACTGCCTGTCTGCGGGAGAGCAGGAGAGCTGCGGGGACCGTGGAAGGTTCCAGAGCTAGCCCAGCCAGAGGAAGCCCCCGCTGCCACCCGGTCCCCAAGTGCGTCCCGGCCCTGCGCCCCCTCCCTGCCCACCGTGCCCAGAACCTCGGACATATTTATTGATATTTATTTTGTCAACGCCCCAATCACGTGTGAGCCACAATCTGCCCGGGGCGGGGGTCCCACGGGTGCGGGGAACCGGGCTCTGGGCCCGCCTGTGTCGGAAAGTGCCTTTTCCCGTTAGCTAGGGCATCCTTCTGGGCAGGGGGCCCTGCGCCCTACTGCCGCTCCAGACCTTTGCGGGGTCCAGAGCCAGCAGCCAGCACACCCGGAGCTTCCTTCCAGGCCCAAGCAGTGGCTGGACGCCCCTCCTCCCGCTGGTCCCCCCCCCCATTCCCCTCCAGGAGGGGGCTAGGACCTGCAGGTGCAACCATGTGGGCGGGGCGCTGCAGCTGCCCAGGTGCAGGCACTTGGCATCAGTCAGCGCCTGGCGAGGCCCCGCCTCCTCCGCGGGGCTGCCCCGAGGGATAAAGCGCGAGGGAGGGGGGCACAGCACAGGACCAAGCCACAGCCCAGGGTGGTCTCTCGGCCCGTGGCTCCGAGCCCCTCAGCACCTCTGGTTTGGAGGTAGGTGTCTGTTCAGTATTGGCTCAGAGGGCTCGTCCTCCAGGCCGGCTAGCCCATTGCAGGCAGGAGTGCCTAGTGCGTGGCCCCAGGCTGCTGAGACACAGCTTGTGGGCAGGTAGGGACCTCCCCAGTCTTGCAGGAGTGGGGGGACTGCAGTAGGAGTCCCCTGTCTGTGCACCTGGGCTGTGTCTCCCTCCGCCCCCCGGGCTGGAAGCGGGAGCCTGGCGAGAGTGAGCAGGAGGGCCCTGAGCGCACTGGGCCCTGGCCAACGCTGCCCCTCCCGCACCCCGTTTTGCACTTGGACCCCTAGTAAAGCCCTCAGGGAGGCCGGGTGAGGCCTGTCTGCCGTGCCTTACTTCTGGGGCCCCACTACAGACAGGGCCCCACTGTGCCTTCGGTCACCCACTGTCACGCGGCTGGGAGCAGTGGGCATGAACCCGAGAGTCCGTCTGTGAGGGAGGGACTCTGGCGGGGGGCACAGTGCTTTGCAGCACATGGTATGGGGAGTTCCTGTGGGGGTTCCAGGAGATCCAAAGAGCCGGGCCAGCCCAGGTCCGTGTGTGCTGCCTGGCCGCGTCTGCCTTTCCTTCTGGTGACCAGCAGCTGCTCAATAAAGCAGATGTTTCTTTGCCTCCATCTGGTGTCCTCTGCTTCACACCCCACCCCAGTCCCCCCTTAGGCTGATATGGGGCAGGCTGTGGTCTGCTGCTGAGTGACCTTGGTGTGTGTTGCGGGGGGAGGGGGATTCAAGGTCGGGGACAGGAATGGGTTGCCACCTGTGCTGGGCGTGGTCTGGCCAGGACGGAAGCTTCCTGGAGGTCTTGGGCTTGCCACCTGCAGTCACTCAAGACAGGCCCAGGTGACCCTGGGGCGGCTCTGCAGTAAGCGGTTGCTAGTGTTGTGGTTACCTGCCCAGCACTGAGGTGATGGGGTTATCCGAGGTTACCCCTCACCCCCCACTGCCTCTGGGTTCCACTGTGGTCTCAGGACTCAGCCCGACACCAGCAAAAGGACACAGCCATGCAGATCCCCAGGTGGCTTGGCCGAGTCCCCATGAGCCTGGCCTGTGGGTACAGCCACAGTAGCCATGGGCAGGGAACGGGACTTGCTTATGTTGAAGGTGGCAGTAGGCGCTGCCCAGAGTGGAAACCCACCAGGCCCCTAGGATATGTTGGATTTTCCAGCTCGTGGAAGGATCTGGCAGTGCTCAGACCCCAATAAGGAGTCTTTTTTTTTTTTTTTTTGCTTTTTGGGTCACACCCAGAGATGCTCAGGGGTTACTCCTGACTCTGCACTCAGGAATTATCCCTGGCGGTGCTCAGGGGACCATATGGGATGCTGGGAATCGAATCGAATCTGTGCTATTGCTCTAGTCCCCCAATAAAGTCTTTTTTTTTTCATTTTTTATAATTTTATTTATTGAATCACCGTGAGAGCAGTTACAAAGCTTTTGGGTCTAGGTCTCAGTCATACAATGAAACACCCGTACCTTCACCAGTGCCCATTCTCCACCACCAAAAATCCCAGTATACCCCCATCCCACACCCTCCCCCTGCCTGCGGGGCAGATGATTTCCACATTACTCTCTCTACTTTGATCACATTCACTATTTTGACACCAGACCCACCATTATTTGAGATTTTACCCCAACACTCAGATCTGCTGAAAAGGCAACAATAGACAATTTGTGTTCTATTGCTGGTTATGAGTAACATATGATGTCATGTGGCTGCAGTAGGGCCATGTGGTTTTGAAATTCTGAAATTTTAACACTTAAATCTGAAGGGATTTCTGCCAAAAGCCACTGGGTTTAGAGATCTGCTCCTGAGTCTCTGGAATCATGGCCGTTGAGCAGCTTGATGAGAAGCCAAAGAGGCCGTTCGTGGGCGATGACTTGGGGTCTCATTAGGGTGGAGAGGACAGGCCCGGCTCCACCTCCCCCCCCATCCCGTGAGACCCAACGTTTCATCACTGCGGGCCCAAGCCAGGCAGAGGGACAGCACCCATTCCCCCCTGGGGTGGCCTGGCGACAGTAACCTACTGCGGGGTCCGGACACATTTCTGACAAGAGCCGCTGGGTTTCGAGATTTGTTTCTGAGTCTCTGGGATCATGGCCGTTGAGCATGAGGAGCTAGAGAGGCCGTTTGTGGGCGATGACTTGGGGTCTCATTAGGGTGGGGAGGACAGGCCCGGCTCCACCTCCCCCCCATCCTGTGAGACCCAACAAGTTTCGTCACTGCGGGATGACAGCCACCAAGTCGCCAAGAGGGAGCAGACGGAGGGACAGCACCCATTCCCCCCTGGGGTGGCCCGGTGACCGTAACCTACTGCGGGGTCCGGACACATTTCTGACAAGAGCCGCTGGGTTTCGAGATTTGTTTCTGAGTCTCTGGGATCATGGCCGTTGAGCAGCTTGATGAGGAGCCAGAGAGGCCCGGCTCCACCTCCCCCCCCATCCCGTGAGACCCAACAAGTTTCGTCACTGCGGGCCCAAGCCTGGCTGTCCAATGGCCTCTGGAGGATGACAGCCACCAAGTCGCCAAGAGGGAGCAGGCGGAGGGACAACACCCTTTCCTCCCTGGGGTGGCCCAGCGACAGTAACGTACTGTGGAGTCCGGATGCATTTCTGCCAAACGCCACTGGGTTTTGAGATTTGTTTCTGAGTCTCTGGGATCATGGCCGTTAAGCAGCTTGATCAGGAGCCAGAGAGGCCATTTGTGGGTGATGACTTGGGGTCTCGTTGGGGTGGGGAAGACAAGCCCGGCTCCACCCTCATCCTGTGAGGCCCTGTGTGTCGCGTCACTGAGGGCCCAAATGTGACTATCCAGTGGCCTCAGACAGATGGCAGCCACTGGACCGCCGGGGGAATAGGCCAAGGCACGAAACCTATTCCTACCTGGGTTGGCCCAGCACCGGTAGCCTACTGCAGAGACCAGACGCATTTCTACCTAAAGCCACTGGGTTCTGAGATTCGTTTCTGAGTCTCTGGGATCATGTCCATTAAGCAGTTCAATCAGGAACCAAAGGGGCCTTGCCTCCAATTATATAGCTGAGCTGGAGGTGGTTTGTGGATGTGTTTCCCACATACCTAACTTTTGGCCGTTTACTTTCTTGGTAAACTTTGCCCCAAGTTTTTGGGGTCTGGCCAAAGGCACAGCAGCAATTTTGGGGTTATCTGGAAGTCTGAAGGCGCCATGAGGCTGCTGATGCACTCGCCTCACAGGTACAGATTGACCTGCTGGCGGCACCATACCCCCGAATAAGGAGTCTTAAGGTGCGAGTCGAGTGGGCGTTTGTGGACCTGCTGTGAGGGCCAGTTCGAGTACCACTCACAGGCAGGTGCTGGTGGCAGTGGCCAGGAGGGGCCCAGATGGATGGAGGTCACCTCTGAGACCCAGAGCACTGATAGCCCAGGGATGGAGGAGTGTGTGGGTCACAAAGGACCCGGAATGACCAGTACTGGTCCCAGATGATTCCATGAGGTGAGAATTGCCCTGTGTCCCGCCCTCCTACCCTGATTCACAGTTTTGTGAGGAGTAGGAACGCAGACCCTCGTGCTCCCCTCTGAGAAGGGGGGCTCCAGCAGTGTGGAGGGGAAGGAGCGCATGTATCTAAGAGTAACAGTTCAATCCTGAAGCCATCCCCTGGGATGTGGAGAGAGGCCTTTCTCGGCAACACCGGTCCAGTGGGCAGAGTTGATGGTCAGAGGTGCGCCAAGCAGAGATGGTGCTACTGGGAAGATCCCAGGGCCACACGGTGATACTGGGGGTCTCTGGTGCTGGGACCGAGCTTGGGCTTCTGGTATGCCTGGGTTGCATCCAGCCCTGTAAGCCGCCACCCTAGTGACCCTATTTGGCTTCACGGTTATGGTGGGAGCTTGGAGCGGGACTTCCTTGGAAGCAGGGTGGGAACTGGGCTGCATCTTGCCATGAGCACAATAAGCCTGCAGCGATTTGCAGGGTGTGTTCTGGAGAGGAGGGGTCTGGCCCAGTACCCAGAGGGTTGGGGTTGGGGTTGTGGGCGTGATGGCCTGAGTGCTTTGTGGTACCCCCCAAGCCTCACCCCTAGGCACGGCCCCCTAATCAGCCAAAGAAATCCCACCAGCCTTGGTTCAGTTATACATTTTATTCTCTAATAGGTACAATACTAAAATAAACACAAATTAAAAAAAAGTTTTATTAAAACAAAACTGTACAAAAAAGCAGTATACTACATCGTAATTACAGAACAGTCTACTGTCCAAAAGGCACTAATCCAGAATAGGAGATACAGTGATACAGGACTCGTTGAACTAGCTCATCAATAGGACAGCGCGCTCGTTTCTTGGACCATTTACATCGAGAAACAAGGGCGTTTGCTACAGTCATTACACAGCGTCATAAATAGGAGTCCCCAGAAGGTGCAGTATCCCGCTCCTCACAGGGAGAGTTGGGGCCTCCCTGCAGCCACTCACCCCCTCGTGTGTGTTAGCACCGGGAAAGTGGGTTTGCAGATGCTCCAGGGAGCCGGGGGGAAGGGGGGGAAGGCCTGGGGGGGGGGACTGGCCACGCAGCAGGGGGCGGCCTCGGAAACCAGATGGGTAAAGGCAGCAGCTGCTCCCAGGGGCCCTCCCTTCTGGCACCCCGTTGGCTTTGGGGGCTGGGGGGAGGATTTCTAGTGACTTCTAGGAGTGACTGGGTTTCCGGGAGGTCAGGCCCGCCCCTCGGTCCTGCCTAGGCTCCAGTCGTCTCTCAGCCCCCAGCCTCCACTCCCGGGGGGGAGGGGGGGACTCTGGACCCGAGGAAGAGAGATACTGCAGCTTTCCAGACAGTGTCACACGCAGAAGACGAAGACGGCATCTGATGTTAACAAAAATAAGGAACAAAGAAATAGGGTTCAACCAAATCTCTTTTCACACCATCCTATACTACATCCTCCTTCTGCTTAGCAGAAAATTGTACGTACACAAAAATACAAATACACAATTTTGTAGAACAGTCTGATTTTAATATATTTATATATATTTATATTTATACGAGTGGCAGGTTAGTCATTATATAGAGCGTTTTTGCACTTTTGGCTCATATGCAACAAGGCTTATAAATTCAGCTTTAGCTTTCATTCAGGTTTTATAGCTTTTGAACAATTGTTTTCACATTTAAAGCAGCATCCAATTTGCACTAGGAGTCGTGATTACGGGAGGGACAGGGCGGGCGGACGTACATTCCAGTGTGCGCGATGCGGTGGCGGTGATGGGGCAGCGCTGGCCACGGGGACCCCTTGAGGTAGACTGAACAACCTCACAGCAGACTCAGACACGGTGCACAGGGCGGGGACGGCGGCTCGGAGACGCCCAAGGGACACACGGAGACAAGACACACAAGAGCCACGGCAGCGACGGACCCCCACACTCTCAGAGACCAGGAGCTCGGCCCCCCCGGTCCCGGGCTCACTGTCCACCACCAAACAGGCCGCACCTCTGGGCCAGCCCCCCACACTGCCCTTTGGGGTCACCCACATAGGCAAGTTCCCGGGAACAGGGTGTTCCCTGTCCTTCTTGCTGCTCCCTCTGACAGAGCAGGTGCGGCCTGTGCTGCCCCTTCCCAACTCCTCCCCATGGACGTTCACCACCTGGCGCCCCACCCCCCA